TGGATCCAGGACAGTGGCCCCATACTGAGAGATTGTTTTGACCAAACAGACTGGCAGGTTTTCAGAGAAGCTGCTGAAAATGGAGGATCACTTGATCTGGACCAATACACATCCTCAGTTCTGGGTTACATTAGTACATGTACTGACACAGTCTCCACTATCAGAATTGTTAAAAGCTACCCAAACAGAAAACCTTGGCTGAATGTAGAGGTGCGTACCCTGCTGGAAGCCAGGAACACTGCCTTCAGGTCTGGAAACTCAGAGGAGCTGAGTAGGACAAGAAAAGAGCTGGTTGCTGGTATTAAGAGGGCCAAGGCCACATACGCACAGAGAATCAAGGGTCAATTTTATCTCACAAGACCCTCGGAGCATGTGGAGGGGCATTAAGTGCATAACAGATTATAAAGGAAGGAGTGAACAATGCCCCAAAGACCCATCTCTGCCTGATGCCCTCAACAAGTTCTATGCACGCTTTGAAGACCCGAACAGACCACCCAGCACCAGACTCACCTCGCCACCGGATGAAGAGCATCTCAGCGTGACCTCAGCAGAAGTAAGGAGTACCTTCAGGAGGATTAATCCGCACAAAGCAACTGGCCCAGACAACATCCCCGGAAAAGTGTTGAAGGAATGTGCTGATCAGCTCTGTGAGGTGCTGGCAGACATCTTTAACGCTTCACTTACCCTGGAGACAGTTCCCACCTGCCTGGAGACTGCCGCCGTCATCCCGGTCCCAAAGGGCTCTACAGTGACTGGTCTGAATGACTGTCGGCCAGTGGCCCTCACCCCAATAGTCGCTAGATGCTTCGAACGACTGGTCATGGCTCACATCGAAACAGCCATTGGCATCGGCGAGGGCCCTCATCGGTATGCATGCCGTGGGAGCCGATCAGCGGAGAGTGCCGTCTCCTCTGTGGTCCACGCTGCGCTCGACCACCTAGAGCAGAAAAACTCTTACGTCCATGTGCTCTTTGTGGACTTCACATCCGCCTTCGGCACCATGATCCCCCAAACCCTGATGGACAAACTGTCCACACTAGGACTGGGCCCCTCCATTTGCGGCTGGGTCCTAGACTTCTTAACAAACAGACCACAGTTAGTGAGGATCCACAACTTCTCCTCCTCCACTATAACCCTCATCACTGGCTCTCCTCAGGGATGTGTGTTGAGCCCCCTCTTGTTTACTCTGCTCACGTATGATTGTGCAGCTACCCATCCAGGCTGTCACATTGTAAAGTTTGCAGATGATACAGCGGTGGTGGGATGCATCACAAACAAGGATGAGTCCAGCTACAGGCAAGAGGTGGAACACCTGGAGAGCTGGTGCAAAGAGAATAACCTTCACATCAATGTGAAGAAGACAAAGGAAATGATTGTGGACTTCAGAAGGAACAAAAACATCTACACCCCCCTGAACATAAGAGGATCTGCGGTGGAAGTGGTCTCCAGCTACAAGTACTTGGGTGTACTCATGAATGACAACCTCAGCTGGAGCACAAACACCACCAGCCTGATCAAGAAAGCTCATCAGAGACTCTACTTCCTCAGACGGCTGAGGCGAGCTGGTCTGGGAAGCTCAGTCCTCACCTCCTTCTACAGGTGTGCAGTGGAGAGCATCCTGTGCTCCAGCATCAACGTGTGGCATGGAGGCTGCACAGCTGCAGAAAGAAAAGCTTTGCAGATAGTGGTGAGGGCTGCACAGAAGTCTGTCGGAATCAGCCTCCCCACCATCACAGACATCTACACCTCCAGATGCAGGAAGAGGCCACCTGCATCATGAAGGATCCCACTCACCCAGCACACACACTTTTTGCCCCACTCCCCTCAGGAAGTAGGTTGAGGAGCTTTAAGTGTAGAACCACTAGACTGAGGAACAGCTTCTACCCTGAGGCTGTTAGACTCATAAATCTCTAACTAGAATAATCACTGTGAAAAACCACATCATGTTGCTGCTGATCTGTTTAAATGTTGATGTGTTCATGCGTGCACATCTGCTCACACAGACTCATGTTCATGTTTGTGCTGATGTTCAATGTTTTTATGTTATGAGTGCTTAGTGTATATTTAGTTGATGTTTTTCTTAGTTCATATCTTAGATGTTATTACTGTTTTTCTTAAACATTTTATTGTTGGATGTAACTGGGACCCTGTGTACATAATTTCGCTCCACAACATGTACCATATGAGGTGCGAATGACAATAAAGAATCTCTGACTCTGACTAATCGGCTCCCAAATAGCTTTTTCTTCAGCCACTTAGGAGCCAGTGAGGCCCGACGCATAAAGGACTACGCCTATACTCATAGAATCTGGGGTTACAATACGTAACCAAGGTTCTATTTCGTATAGGCTTCGCCCTTTAAGGCTGTCGCTAGTGGGTTAAGGGTGAAGCGGATGTGGTCCTCGCCTCACTGGGTCCATTCGAACACCGTATGAAGCAGAAGCTTGCCCAAAAAACGTCTTGTCACTCAGCTCTCCATGTACGTAATTACGCGTTGCATAATTATGTGTACCATGCACAGACGCATGCTGTGTAGTTATGCGTTCTGAATGCATGAACACCCCGGAAAAGTTTCAACGGGGAGGAAAAATGCTGAAAGGAGCCATGAACCAACCGGTTCACTGCTGAACAGTATGAACAGATTAATAATAACAAGTGAACTGATTATTAATCAAATGAACTGATTGGTAACAATAGTCATGAACTGATTAATGACAATAGAACCAAAATAACAGTCACAACTTGTGACTGATAACAACATCTCACACTATAATGCATGCAGATAGATGTGAGTTAAATGGGATTCCATGAAACAACAATATTCATTCTGTTAGAACAATAAGTACAGAATGTGTCATGGAATGAGCCGTCACATCACGTAAATCAAAACAAATAAATGAGCAGGGTGTTGACCACACGGCCGCAGTGCAACCATCCTTCATTGTCATACCAATATGCAAAACAGTCGAAGATGCGATACCTCTGGTCGAGTGCGCCCTGAGGTTATCAGGAGGCTCTAAATCTGATGCTCTGTAGGCTTCAGAAAAAGCCTCACACAGCCAGTGTGACAGGCGCTGGGTGGATAACGGGTGACCTGCAGATGCATCTCTATAATGCACAAACAAATGTGGAGTTTGATGCATTGCAGCTGTGCACGCTACGTAACACGTCAACGCCCGCACAGGACAAAGAAGAGGGAAAGATGCTTCTTCTGATTTGTGGGGGTGAGGGGAAAAAACCCCTCCCAACGATATTGCTCTTGTTTTAAAAGAGCTCGTGATGTTTTAGGCATAAAAGCTGGATTAGGTCTCAGATCAGCTGAGCTGCCATCAGCCTGAATTCTAAGACATGACGGAGCGGCAAAGAGGGCAGATAAATCACTCACCCTCTTAGCGAATGTTAAAGCCAACAGCAGGCTGTTTTAAGAGACAAGAATTTAATTGGAAACCTGATTCAGAGGCTGGACTGGAGCTTTGATCAGGGCCCGCATGACCAGCATTAAATCCAACTGTGGAGCGAGTGGGCGTGAAAACAGGCCTGCATCTATGTACACCTTTTAAAAAACGCTTCATCAGCTGATGATTAAAGGCTGTTCCGTCTCCGAAATCTTCGTGACAAGAAGAGATGGCTGCAGCATACGTTTTAATTGTGCTGAATGTCAGATTTCTGTCCATCAGCTGCTGCAGAAAAAGCAGCACGTCACCTAGTAGACATGAGGTGGCCTCTACACCTTCTCTGTACACATTTTACAAAACGCTCCATCAGTAGATAATTAAAGGCTGTTATGTCACCGAAAACTTTGTGACAAGAAGAGATGGCTGCAGCATATGTTTAATTGTGCTGAACGCCAAATTTCTGTCCCTCAGCTGCTGCAAAAAGGACAGCACGCCGCCTAGCGGACATGAGGTGACCTCTATACCTTTCTCTGTACACCTTTTACAAAGACGCTTCATCAGCGGATGATTAAAAGCTGTTCTGTCTCTGCAAAACCTTTGTGACAGGAAGAGATGGCTGCAGAATACGTTTTAATCGTGCTGAACGCCAAATTTCTGTCCATCAGCTGCTGCAGAAAAGACAGCACGTCGCCTAGTGGACATGAGGTGGCCTCTACATCTTGTGGGAGACCCATCCTCTCTAAGCGGATCCACTCAGCGGCCAGACCCACAGGTGCTGGCCTATTTCTGGGTAACTCCTGATCGCTCCTCCCGCCTGGAGGAGAGCATCCTCCCTCCACGGCAGTTTCCACGGGCGCCCCGATAACAGGCATTGTAGAACCGGAACCATGGTGCGATCACGCACTCGGGAGCCACCAGGATAGCTGTCAATCCCTCCTCCTGAACTCGATAAAAAAAAAACGTAATATCAGAGGAGGTGAGGGGAATGTGTGAAAATCGTTTTGGGCCATGGGCTATGAGCGAACACGTCCACCCCCCAGCGGTGGTTCGTCTCATGGGCTCAGTGAAGCCCATAGTTGACACTGAGCGTTTCCTCGTATCGCAAACAGGTCCACGGCCGCTTTGCCAAATTCTTGCCATGTCTGGGCTATCAGACCGAGGTGGAGGGTCCACTCCCCGTGACGCGGACCGCCCCTGGACATCACATCTGCCTCTTGTACAGAACACCGGGGATGTACACTGCTCTGATGGAGAGCAGATTTTGGTGTGCCCAACACAGTACTTTCCTCGCAATGTGTAACATTTGGGCTGTGTTGATTCTGTAGCACAGGAGCAAAGTGTTGAATCACATTCATAACCGTGCAACCTTCCAGAACGTTTATATGAGCTGTTGTGAGAAAAACCACAGCGCCCCTACAGCTCAAGATTGGCATGTCACTCGGGAGAATCGAACTTTTCCAATTTTATGGCAAAGCCCAGAATTAACAGGTGTGACATCAACATCTGAGCCTGTGCCAACATGTGAAGCGGTCTGCCCACGATCGCCTTGTTGAAAAAACTGACAGGTCCACATCGGTCTCGTTTCTCTGTTCCGTTTGGAACCAGGAAGTAACGTGAGTAACAACCTGTGTTTTCCTCTCCGTCGGGAAACCCTGGACTTCTGCCTTTAGGGATGAGACCTGGTCTGGTGACAGGACCGTCTCTAAAAACTCCTCCGAACGGAGGGGGTCGGGCTGCAAGTTGCAACATGTAACCCCTGCTATCAGCTTTGGCCATCCATGTCTGGCGAGCTAGCTCACAGCCACTCTGCGAAACGTCCGTGGAGTGGGCGCGCGTTTAGGTGGTGCGTCATGTTTTAACGGATGTCAGTCAATCCACCGCCTCAACCGCTGTCATGAGCCGCGGGAGTGTGTTCCACGTGACCCACAGGTGAAGCTTCCTCGAAGGGGCTCTGAGCACGTCTGTGTGCTACGCTCGGCTGCGGGTCCACATTCATGTCTATGTGGACCGGCGTGTGTTGAGGAGAGGCGTGTGAAAACTGTTGACGCCACAGGATCGCGCGTTTGACACTACTGCGGTGAGACGCGTGTCGCTCCTGCCGAGAGCGAGATACGTTACTGGGCTTGTACAGCGATCTCACGTTTATGTTGACGTGAGCGGCGAGCGCTGAGAAGCTGCGTGCTCGCCTTCATAACGCAGCGCCGTATGGGTGAAGGCTGCTCGCACCGCGGGAGCGCACGTTGGCACCGCTTCAGTGAGGGGTGTGCAGCTTGGGCTGAAAAACGAGTTATTCCACTGAGACTCATTGTGCGGGCCACATTCACTTATTACTGTTGTGTCATGCGGGCGTCTCGCCTTGTTTGGAGCGACGGTGATTGAAACAACCTTTAAAAGGCCACCGGCTCATTCGTGTGTGGGGTGTGTGACGGAGCCGCTGTCGGGTCATCCGAGCTGACAGACTGGCTAAAAAGACACTTCATCATAAAATGATGTTTTATTCCCACATTCGTGTCATCTTCACACACATCCCACAAACTGTCATTGAGTCATCTCTCCCTGAGCTCTGTGGTTTGTTGTCCTAGGGTGGCACCTGTTGGAAATCTCCGGGAAAAGCTGAACTTCCGGATGCCGGGGATGTCTGACGGGCGGGGCTGGCGTAGCAGAGTGGGGAGCGTCTTGAAATTGATCCCTCGTTGATGAGGGCCCTCCAACAAAAAAGCTTTCTGCAGCTCCTCCGAGAGGGAGGTGGAGTGACGGGCCAGGTGAACCTCTGGGAAACCTCGTTCTCCGGCTGCGATGCGAGACCGGCAGACAACAAAGAGGCGCACCGGTTGAGGATGATGTCAGCTGCCTTGCAGAGGCAGCATTACGTCTCCTCCCACTTCTTGAACGTTGTACGCCAACAGCGTAACGTGTTGTTCGCTGCGGCCACCTGGAACGCACGCTGGTGAGCTCGGTTGGAGAGCGACGTCACCATCTGGTTATGCTTATCCGGAGGCGCAGGACGCTGGTCTAACCTGGACATCTTTGCTCCGAAAAAGCCTCCATCAAGGCTTGGCTCCCGGGGGACCACTGTGGGAATTTCCGCTCGGTGAAAACCCCTCCTCTCTGGTGATGGGCGCGGATGTGGGAACCGGCGCCCTATTCTACCAGGAACCGACTGCGGCCTCGTCCCAGTAGGACGTCGTTGCTGGGAAACCGAGGCCAGATAGGATCAGAACGGCGAGCCATAATGGAGCCCAGAAACCTTCCCACTAGATCATCCGAACTGGCGGGGAAAGAGAGGGACGAAAAAAGGTCCCTTCATGTCAGCCGCCTCCTGGATTATGCCAGGCAGCTCCAGAGGACGACACGGGCGGCTGGGAGCGGTGTGGTCACCGACGCGAAACAAGGTGGGGGGGAGGGGTGAGCATTCGTTCAGCCCCCCTCTACCGACACTACGCTCTCCAGGAGAGAAAGAGCAGCGGGGGGCTGCTGCTGACGTCGCCTGTCCCGGAGGAGCCATCGATTCGCTCCGAGAGTCTGCGATAAGAGGAAAATTACAAGATGGCGTCGTCCCGCGTGTAACGTCTTGCCACTGAGAAATACTCCTCGGCGCTTACTTTGAAACAAGACTGCTCGTCTGTTTCTCCTCGGGGAGGAGAACTCACCGGGACAACAGGAGGTTGACGTGGCGGGCCACAGGCAGTCTTAACAAAGGTTGGTCAGCTAGACAACTTTCCTTCTTCGTTCTTCTGACAGTGCTATTAGCTTGCTGAAGAAAAATGGGAGCGATTACCCGCTCTTAACGTGATTTATACGGACCGGGTGGGGCCCACACAGCAGGTGGGCGTGGACTAAATTTTTCAGTGTAATGCTTCACATGACGGCATAAAACCCACTAGCGACAGCCTTAAAGGGCGAAGCCTATACGAAATAGAACTTCCGTGTGAGTGGACAGTTTGAGAGAAAGGATACTGAACTGTGACGAGACGACAGCGGGGGTTGAAACCCTCGCTGTGCAGTGGAAGGAGGGGAGTTTCAGTGGTTTCTGATGTTCTATGAAACCACTGAAAGGCTGTACACAGGACAAAAATAAATCAAATTACTTCTTCACCGACACATTTTTTTTATCTTTGCACAAAACTCTGTATTGAAACGTATGTAGTTCATGTATTGCTATTAACACTCCTTAAAATATATTCTTTCAAATACCTTTATCAATCAATACACTGTACTTTATTTTATTCTTTATCCCAGAACTTATAATTTATGTCAATTCTAGTGGATTTTAAATTTTCACAATCAAGCTGATGCTGTAAATTAGCCCAACAGGGTTCAAGAAAGTTTTATTTAACAAACAAAAACATGCCTGTAGAGAATCTGAGTTGTGCTGAGGCTTGAAAAAGACTAAGATCCTGTCAGAAATTTCATTCTGTGCTTCTAAATGTTGATGAATCTTGCATTCATGAGGTTGGACTGAGTTGTTCTGACTTTATGTTCATGTTTACTTGTTCTGTGGTGAAAACGTGTCGATTTGTAACTTTATGTGTGACTTTTGTTGTCAGGATGAAGACCTGGGGAGCTACCTGTCGACTCTGCTGAAGAAGGGCCTCCCGCCTGGGTTGTGCTGAAACAACGTGCTGTCTCAAAACAAAGATTGTTTTAAAGAGGAAAGTAGTTAGTGGAGACTGCGTTCTGTTCCAGAAGATGTCAGTTGTTTACTTGTAAACAACAACAAGGCTTCATCACATGTACATAACAACAAGGTTTCCTCACATGTACATAAGTTCCTGTCCTGTTGGTAAACTCCTTCTGATAAACATCCAGAGACTCATTTATAAAGAAATAAGAGACCCAAGTTCTGAATTTTTTTTTTCTTCAAACGGAGCTTCCACGAATAAACACTATTACAGAAAAAACAAAGTGATTTATTTACAGAAGTTTACCGTAATTTCCAGACTATAAGCTGCTACTTTTTTCATGTGCTTTGAACACTGCGGCTTAAACAATGCTGTGGCTAATTTATGGATTTTTTTTTTGGGACTGGCTACCAAGCTTCATGCTGCCAAAACATTTAGCCTCGTCACACCTGGGCGCTCACATTGCTGCCCAAACATGTCTCTCTTGGGGGGGTGGGTCCTCGTGACTCAGTGAGACTACCTGTATAAATAAAGGTTAAAAAAAATCTGACCAATGAATTACTGAACAGGTCACAGTAGATCAGTGAAACTTGGGGTGCATTCACACCAGCCCTGCTGTCCCAAACTTTAGCGAAATAACGAAATTTATATATATACAAACCGGATTCCAAAAATGTTGGGAAACTAAATAAATTTTGAATAAAAACTGAATGCAATGATGTGGAGGTGCCAACATCTAATATTTTATTCAGAATAGAACACAAATCACAGATCAAAAGTTTAAACTGAGAGAATGTATCATTTTAAGGGAAAAATCTGTTGTTTCCAAATTTCATTGTGTCAACAAATCCCAAAAAAGTTGGGACAAGTCCATTTTTCCCACTGTGTGGCATCCCCCCTTCTTCTTACAACATTCAAGAGACGTCTGGGGACAGAGGAGACCAATTTCTCAAGTTTAGAAATAGGAATGCTCTCCCATTCATGTCTAATACAGGCCTCTAACTGTTCAATCGTCTTGGGCCTTCTTTGTCGCACCTTCCTCTTTATGATGGGCCAAATGTTCTCTATAGGTGAAAGATCTGGACTGCAGGCTGGCCATTTCAGTACCCGGATCCTTCTCCTACGTAGCCATGATGTTGTGATTGCTGCAGAATGTGGTCTGGCATTATCGTGTTGAAAAATGCAGGGTCTTCCCTGAAAGAGATGATGTCTAGATGGGAGCATATGTTGTTCTAGAACCTGAACATAGTTCTCTGCATTAATGGTGCCTTTCCAGACATGCAAGCTGCCCATGCCACAAGCGCTCATGCAACCCCATACCATCAGTGATGCAGGCTTCTGAACGGAGTGTTGATAACAACTTGGGCTATCCTTGTCCTCTCTGGTCCGGATGACATGGCGTCCCAGTGTTCCATAGAACTTCAAATCATGACTCATCTAACCACAGAACAGTCTCTTCCATTTTGCCACACTCCATTTTAAATTATCCCTGGCCCAGTGCAAACATCTGAGCTTGTGGAGCTTGCTTAGAAATGGCTTCCTCTTTGCACTGTAGAGTTTCAGCTGGCAACGGCGGATAGTACGGTGGATTGTGTTCACTGACAATGCTTTCTGGAAGTATTCCTGAGCCCGTTCTGTTATTTCCTTGACAGTGGCATTCCTGTTGGAGGTGCAGCGACGTTTAAGGGCCCGTAGATCACGAGCATCCAGTAGAGTTTTACGGCCTTGACCCTTACATTTAAGAAAAAGATCAAAGCTGAATTGTTAAAAAAGTATATATGAAGTAGCTTAGTGTGTGTTTTGTATTAGAATTAGAAAAATTAGAAAGAGTTATTCATTTTGTTCTGTTACTTGAAAATTATTATGATTGAAATAATTGTTTGAAAAAAGGGGCAGATATGAGATTTTTTCTTCTTTCTGCTGCCTTTCATTTTAAATCATTTGTATATTTTTTTATATTGTTATGGAATTGTTTTGTACTTTTTTAAAATGAATAAACTTTATACCATACCATACCATTACGCACAGCGATTGTTCCAGATTCTCTGAATCTTTTGATGATGTTATGCACGGTTGAGGATGATAACTTTAAAGTCTTTGCTATTTTATGCTGGGTAACACCATTCTGGTATTGCTGCACTATCTTTCTGCTCAACAATGGTGGAATTGGCGATCCTCTTACCATCTTGGCTTCTGAGAGACACTGACACTTTGAGAAGCTCTTTTTATACCCAATCATGTTGTCAATTGACCTAATTAGTGTTAATTGGTTTTCCAGCTGTTCGTTATATGCTAAATTTCCTTTTTCCAGCCACTTATTGCTACTTGTCCCAACTTTTTGGGGATTTGTTGACACTGTAAAATTTTGAATCAACATATTTTTCCTTTAAAATGTTACATTTACTCAGATTAAACTTTTGATCTGTCATCTATGTTATATTACGAATAGAACATTGACATTTGCCATCTCCACATCATTGCATTCAGTTTTTATTCACAATTTGTTTAGTGTCCCAACTTTTTTGGAATCCGGTTTGTATATATGTGTATATATGTATATATATATATATATATATATATATATACATATATATATGTGTGTAAATATATATATGTGTATATATGTGTGTGTGTGTATATATATGTGTGTGTGTGTATATATATATATGTGTGTGTATATATATATATATGTGTATATATATGTATATATATATATGTGTGTGTATATATATGTGTATAT